TCTCTCTCTCTCTCTCTCTCTCTCTCTCTCTCTCTGTCCTAGTTTTCTTAACAGCCCAGAACCACTCACCCAGAGAATGGGGCTGCCCACAATTGCCTGTGCCCCCACCCCCAAATCAGCTAACAATCAAGATAATCCCCTCCAGTCATGCCCATAGGCCAATCTGATCTGGAAAATCCCTCAGATGAACCTCCCTTCTCAGGTGACTGGAGGCTGTGTCAAGCTGGCAGTTACAGCTAACCAGGTCACCTAGATTTGTTACCCATCCTGTCTCTGCCCATCCCATCCCCAACACAACAGCTCAGTTTTCACAGTTTGGTTCTAGTGTCTTCCTGGGCACTCAGTCAGGCTCTGCCAATAGCCCGGCTGTGGAGAACAGACAGCTGTTCTGTGGCTGTGGACATTCATGTAAGTCTTTCATGGCAGATCCCAGCATCAGCATAACCTGAATTCTTTTTCCTTACTCATATTGAAATCAGAAAAACTAGTTTTCTTTTTTTTTAAAGCAGAGATGGTATTTTACAATGACATATGAGACCATCTTTTTATTGAGTTTTTGTACATTTCATTTAATAGATCTTAATCAAATTTAGACACTCCTCCCTGATCCCTGCTTTCCCAAAGCTCTTTCACTGGATTTCATGCATTCTGTCATATATGTTGAATCCTCTCCAGTAAAGTGTTTGTACCCAGATGTCCGTTGGTAAAAGATCATCCACTGGAGTCTAGTCAGCCTATGTAGAGTCACTCTCTTAAAGAAGAGCTTCTCTCCCTCACCGCACAGTGATCAGCTGCCAATAACTCTGTGGCTAGGGTGGGGCCTGCTGCCCATTTCCCCATTCTATGCTGGGTTTTTGCCTAATTGAGCCAGCATGCTCTTATACATGCTCTTATATAAGCTCTTATACATGCTGTCACCATTGTTTCAAGTTCATTTGAGCAAGTTCCTAGAGGCCTGAAAGCCTCTGTTTCCTTATGTTTATGCACCAACTCTGGATGTTAGTCTTTCCAGCCCTTCTTCCGCAATGGCCCCTGAGCTGTGGGTGGAGGAGATTTAATATAGGAGTCCTATCTAACTTTTTGGTTTGTGCTATCAGTGATAACAGGTAGCTCTTGTCTTCTGGGTCTCCCTGAGCCTGTGATCTTGGGCTTGGAGAGGCACCTCACACTTAGAAGTCTCCTAGAATTAAGTTCACTGAATTTGAGACACTTGTATCCTTTATTGCAGACACCCTTTCAGAAGGACCTGAAAATCATAATCATACAATAAATTTAAAACTGAGAATGGAAACAGCATCTCCTAACATCAGGAGCTGATCCTGCATCCCAGGGAGGCCTTGGAGCTCACATCGGCATCAGGCCACTCTGTGACTCTGATGGACACATGTCAGGTCGCTCCACAGCCATGTTTGCACACAGGAAAAACTATGAGCATTGTCCCAACCATAACAACGAGCAGACTTCCTTCCACTCTGGATACTGTGGTGACTGCCACTTCCTCTCTACCCACAGCCACTTTAGTCTCCCCTCCTTCTAGAACAGACACTTAACATTCTGACAGTTCTGGAGACATCTGAGGAGCCTCACACCAAGCCTCCCACTGTTTTGGATTCTGTGACACTCTTGGCCTGGCTTTCAGACAGCTGGACTTCTCCTCACATGGTTTCTTGTTTGGATGCTTATGTTCAGTTGAATCATAATGACTGAACTAGTTGTGGGAAACAGTGTTACATTTCAATGCACATACACAATAAACAGTGATCAACTGAAAATAAACACATCCAAACAAGAACCCATATGAGCACAGAGACATCAACTGCAAACCAGGCTGAGCGCCTCAGAGAAACCTAAAGAAGTGAAGGGCTTGGTCTCAGGCGTCCCAGGCACCTCCAGAACCGTCAGAATGCTGTGTCTATTGACTAACCTGCCTAGGCCATGTACTTTCTTCTCAGATCAAGCTGTTCTTTATTTTTATTTTATGTAAAAGAGTGTTTTGCCTGTATACATGTAAGTGCACCTATGTATGAAGTGCCTGAAGAGCCAGAAGAGGGCATTAGATCTCCTGGAATTAGAGTTGTGGTCAGTTGTTATCTGCCTTGTGGATGCTGGGAACTGAACCTGGGTCCTCTGTAAGAGCAGTCAGTCAGTGCTCTTAATCACTGAGCCATCTCTCCAGCACGCTGATATAATATCCTAAAAACCACTGTCTAGAATGAGGGAACAGAGACAGTCGTAGGCTGGGAGAATGTGTGCCACCCCAGGGGAGTGTGGACCTTCCCACTGCATTGCCACAGGTCTGTTCTGCTCCAGCCACTCTTCCCTGGCCTCCTGCCT